TTTTTATTTGCTTAATGATAAACTAAACGTGAACTACTTTAATTAAAATGACAAAACAGTAAATTTCTTTCAAATCTTTGTATAGCCGAAACATAAACAGTCGTGGATGTTTGCCTTATGATTATTATTATTATTATTATTATTATTATTTATTTATTTAATTTTTTTTTAAAAGGCATACAATTTTCTAAATTTTTTGATTTTCTTATTTAATAGTCTAGAAAAAATGCTTTTTAGTAACGCATAACTTTTTATGCTATCCTTAAAAGGAGAAAAGTAATAAAATCTTACAATTAAATTAGTTTATAAGGCTGTACTTTGGAAAAGTAATGCTGTGAATCCCTCAGATTAATTGATGGGGAAGGTGGTAATAACAATAAAGTATCTCAATGAATTTTAAGATTCTTTTGTTAACTTTTAAAGTTTTAAATGGGTTAGCCCCCCCTTATCTTCGGGACCTTTTAAATTTCCAGTCTGTGTCCAGAACTTTACGATCAAATAATCAGTTATTACTGACGGTTCCTCGGACTCGACTTAAGAGAAAAGGAGATCGAGCTTTTGCTGTAGCTGCTCCTGTCTTATGGAATAACTTACCTTTCCAGATTAGATCTGCCCACAGCCTGGATCATTTTAAATCACTTCTTAAAACTCATTTTTACTCTTTGGCATTTAATTGATGTATTGTTTTGTGCTCTGTTTTGTCATTTGTGTTGTCGTTCTTGTACAGCACTTTGGTGCAGTTTTATGCCTGTTTTAAAGTGCTATATAAATAAATTTGACATTGACAATGAATACATTGCCACATCTGAGGAAACAGGCAGTGTTTCCAAGTATCAACACTAAGTATTTTCCATGATGAACAAACACACCCACACAAGAATGTCTTTTTCCTGTTTTTGTCAAAGTAATTTTTGGCTTGTTACATCCTAAGCTTCTAAAGTGATTCTGTAAAGTCAGGTTTAACTTTTACATAACCTTAAAGTTATAGTACTCACCCCAACTATAAAGCTATTCCTTAGATTTAATTTAAATCCACGTTTTAGTCATTCATAATTCTCACACCTTAGAGTTGTTCTTACTTTGCAGGCCGGCTTGCGCACCCTTCATGACATTGGACCAGAAATTCGCCGAGCCATATCATGTGACCTACAGGAGGAGGGGCTTGTAGATGGAACGGGAGAGGAAGAAGAGGAGATTTATCGGGTAAAAAAAAAAAAAGAAAAGTTTATGTACTTCCATTTGCTTTTACTTTCTGCTTGTAGAAACAGTCCAAGTGCCAAAACAATCATCCAGTTGTTTTTCAAAGGTGCTTTATTCTGCAAGTGTGCATTTGCTTGAAGTCATTTTCACATTTAAAACATTAAATTGGGGGGCGTGGCCAACAGCACTAATTTGCATATGTATGACGTAAACCTAGAATAGCTCATTCCTAAAGAAGCTCAAACTGATTTCTCCTCATTTCTCCTCAGGATTTTTTTTGCAAAAAAATGTAATCAATATGTTTTGTGCAGCCCATATGCTAACTTGTTCAAGGAAGCATAATAGGTCTCCTTTAATGTTTTAATGTACACTTTGATTGTAAAAAAATAAGATGGTTGGTTGAGACTGTTCAAAATAGAAAAAGTTGATTAGTCAATTTATAATCATATAATCTGGTTTGTTGGTCTTTGTTTTTTTTTTTTTTTGTTAATGTCTGTTATCTTCTCAAAGCGCAACGGCGGCCTTTTTGGGAATCACATGAACCACGTTGGCATGGATCATCCCCAGCCCACTACCGTCACACAGCGCCCCCTACAGATCCTGCCCATCTACTGCACTCCCTCTGCCGCGCCCACTCAGATTTGCAGGAGAGCCAGCAGCAGCGACAAGGAAGGAGAGACGGAGATGAACTCCTCACCCATCCACTACAACCATCATCCTTCCCCTCATCTGTACGATTACCCTCACTGTAACTCCACCTCCCCTCAGTCCCCGATACCCTCCAACGCCAACCTCAACAACGCCAACGTGCCCTCGCTTCTCTTGATGTCCTCTGGGAGGCAGCAGAAGTGTTTATTGCAGAGGTGCCGCCCGTCTTCAGCAAGAAATAAGTCATCGACGTCTTACAGCAGGGGCCTGCATGACAAGCAGTGGAAGTCCCACTCCACAAGGTGGGTTACAGAAACCGCATCCCGTTTTAGTTGGCCTGCATTCACAGCTTCGGTTAAAATGGTAGCAGTCCAACATCATTGTTAAGTTTTATAAAACTACTATTTTGATCTCAACTGAAAAATACATCTAACAGGTCAAATATTATGACCATTTTATTCTGCAAAGTGAATTCTTCTGATCGTGCGATCGTCCAGGTACCTGCCAAAGACGGACTGCAGTTCCTGTGCAAAAATCCAGAATTGAATCTGTTGAAAAAAAATATAAAACTTTAAAATTTTCTCTTGTTTCCATTGCTCTGCTTATTCATCTCATTCATCTCTGCCTGAATCGCCTCATCCTTCATTACATGAATCAGGACGCGCTACTATGAGGCCTATATTAGGTATGTAACCAATGCAGCCACTGAAATGACATACAACTTACAACTTCACAGCTTTTGATGCCGAATCTGTTTTGGTTCAATTTGGAGTCGTGCTGATACAATCTCTCTCAATCTAGCCTCTTGTCCTACAGTGTTTGCTTTGTGCAGAGGGGCTGTAAGCCAGAGATAGATACTACTCTCTCGATAAAAGATTCTAAGAAGCATTAATCAAATGACAAACTGGAAATGGAATTTAAAATAACCAAAATTTCAATATGTCTGTGTGATTTTGCTGACAGGTCAAAAAATGGCGGAGCGCTTCACCCGACCATTCGCCGAGAGGAGCCAGGTGGCAGGGACAGCGATGAAGAGCGGGAGTCTGGGGAATACTTCAGCGGGGAGGAGTTTCACGAAGACGACATCATGCTTACCAAGGACAGGTTATCCAAGTCGGACTTCCACGACGCTGCAGACGGAGATTTGGACCGTTTCAGGGACGACTGCGAGTCCGAAGGTTACTGTGACGACGACAAGCAGCCGATATGCCAGGAGGATTGGCGGTCGCCCAGGAGATGGTTTTTGCCATCCCCCCAAGGTTCAGCTGCTCTCTCTTTCATGTTGCTTTTATCATTAAATTGCTTGAGTGACTGAATTTTTTTCAGATCTGCAAATACTGAAACGTTTGACTCAACATACCTTAATATTATTAAATTTATATATTTTAAAATAATTGATAGTAAATTGCAGTGCATATGCTATATTTGATTTGACTCTTCTGTGTATAAAATCTTGCTTGTTTCCTGTTTTTCATTTGACATTATAAAACAAATAATATGTTTCTTGAGTATCTCAGCCACAAAAACCCTGAGTCTGTTTCACTTCTTGCTTCCTCTAAGCCTGCAATACACCAACATTCAGCTTTGAGTGTCTTCGCAGAAGAAGTAGCATAGATGAAGCTCCTCCATCTCCGTCATGCACAGCTCTTCCACTGCACCTGATGCAGCAGCAGGTACGCCTGCGCCTGTAGCGTGAGGAGTTGGAAACGAGTGAAATGTGGCTGATGCCCCGACAGAAACCTGTTTTGTCTCCTCTCTCCCATTCAGGTGATGGCGGTAGCCGGTCTGGACGCCACCAGGATCCCACGTCTGTCTCCCACCAGGTCGCTACGCTCGTGGGCCACGCCTCCCGCCTCCCCCATCAGCCGTGACTGTGGCCCCTGCTACACTCCACTCATACAGGTCTGATCGACGCTGATCGACCGTCTGCATTGCTGTGGAAATGGAATGTTAAAATCGGGGACCCACACATGTCTAAAAAGTCTGGGACTTTTTCATCTCATACATGGGATTTCCTGCCAGCCTTGTGTCGTCCCTATTGCGTTCTGTGATTTGAGGTGGATGAGGCTGCCAGCATCTAGCTGCTAATGCACCCTTGCTAGCTAGCTAGCTTTTTTCTGTCTATTGTGAATTTTTGTATGGCGCAGCATGCAGTGTGAGAAGCACAAAAAGTGCTGCCAAGAGCCACAAACCCAGGAAATTCCACACTTTTTGCTACGCTTGATCAGTCCCTAGATTTATAGTTCTATTAGGTCTTAAATTTAAGATGGCATTAAAAAGGTCTTTAAAAGTCTTAGATTTGACATGCTAAAACCTGTGGATACCCTGAAAACAATGCCTTAAAAACAGCCAGGGAACTCATGAGTTTTAGAAATTTAAAATGTAACAAAAGCTCATCACTTCTTTATTCATACATTGAAACCAAATAATGTTATTAACTTATGTTTTTGGCTGTTGCTAAAAGAAAAACCCAATCCCTGCGGCCGTCTCGCGGTTTTCGTAAAGGCTAAAGTGTGTAGTGTGTGTGTGCAGGTGGACTGGCGCAGCACTGGCAGTGTGGGCAGCATCCCTGGGGCCGTGAAGAGGAGTTCTTGGTACACCGACTGCCAGGACGGCCTGCCCAGCCACAGCCACTCACCGTCACGGCTGCAGCTACCTGCAGAAAGCAGCTCACACTTCCTGCAAAACAGAGGCAGCGCTAGCAGTCTGGTGGAGGCTGTGAGTAAATCAGTAACTTAATGTTGCTCAGCTTCGGGGCAGGTCAGCAGGTGACTTGAAAACACACTTTCCCTTTAGTGAAGGACAGTGGTGGCAGCATCATGCCTTCCTTGAGTTGACTGAAAAATGGATGGAGCTAAATTCAGGACAATGCTAGAATAAAATCTGTCAGAGTCTAAAATGTGTCAGTCTGATCCACCTTCCAGCAGGACAGAAACCCTAAACATCCATCCAGATTGACAAAAGGCATGAAAGCATGTCCATGTGTTAGAACGGCCCGGTCAAGTCTCATACCTCCTTATAGGTAAATATTTACTTAAATAGCTGCAGTTCATTCATCCTCTTTCCAAACCCGTCCTACATTAGTGAGGTGTGTTGGGTCACCAGCCCATCCCAGGACATCAGCAGCTGTTTCTACCTTATTCGGGGGTTTTTTAATCAATTGCTGCTTCTAGATTATAAAATTGCTAAAAATGTCAATTTGGACCATGCAGTTATGAAAACTTACAGTTTTTTGTATCTACATCCTAAAGCAGAGTTACTGTCATTATCCTGTCATGGTTTAATCGTTACTGAAGGATAATTTATTACATAAAATGACAGAAATGGCTGCTGGTTCTTATGAGTTTCTCATCTTTGCATTCTGTCCATCCAACAATCAGCTGTCGTCCTCGGTAATCTTGACAATTCAGCCATTTAATTAGTTCCACCATTTTGGTTTGCCTTAGCTGCTTTCACACATTCTCGTCTTCTGATCTGATTTTATATATATATATATATATATATATATATATATATATATATATATATTTTATCTGTCTTTTAATATTATTATCACGATCTTCCTTTTCTCTCGCATCCCTCTCAGGTCCTGATCTCTGAAGGTCTCGGGAAATACGCCAGGGACCCCAAGTTTGTGACAGCGGCCAAACACGAGATCGCAGACGCCTGCGAGTTGACCATCGACGAGATGGAGAGCGCTGCCAGCAATCTGCTGAATGGCAGCATGGGTAACGACGAAGTGGCGGGGACGGAAAGCGTCGGCTCCGACTCGCCACACCAGAGGGACTACAGCGACGAGGAGCAGTACGTGGCCGTGAAGTGTGAGGAGGACCTAACGGACGAGATGATATGCATCACTTCTCTATAGCAGCGACTCACCGCAGACTCTGTCTAGTTTCATTGAACGTATGGGGAAGTCTCAGCAGGCCCTGCGGAGAACAGAAAATTAGGGATAAACGTGAGAGCAAAGTGCCTTGTTTTCTTTTGTCTGCTTAGTAGATTGCAGCTAAAGCAGACACATGGTTATAGAAAAACAAACAAAAAAAACTTGCTGTAATTGAAATCAGGAGACATGAATCTACACGCCAGCTTCCCAGAAGGCAGGCCAGCCGTTAAAAGTTATGTTGTATATCTTAACTGACATCAGTTGGACAAAACTTCAGATCTTCAGGATGACATAACTCGGCTTTAGTGAGGATTACACAAGGCCATAAATCACATAGTTTACTACATGAGGAGCCAACACAACAAAAACAAATGTGCCACCACTCACCACCTGCACATGCAAGCAGGCAAATGAATTAGACTTCTATTCTATTGCTGTGTAAATAGTTTTAGACGGCGGAGCGTTTCTAAATCTTTCTGCCTGGTTCACAGTTCAGATGTCAAAAACTGGTTTTCCAAGGATTCCTGCAATTAGTTGCATTTTATGTGGATGAAATGTGTGATTTTACCCCTCATTGGTCAGAACTGATGAAAACATATATTTTTGTTTGCTTATCTGAATTAGATGGAACCAAAGCAGGAGCAGCTGAGATGGTGCCTTGTGAAAGTCGCCACGCCTCTTTCACCTTTTCCATATTTGGTCACATTAGAGCCACATACCTCGGTGTAGTTTACTGTGATTTTACTAGATAGACTAACAAAACTGTGCTTATTTGGAAAAAGGAAGGGGAAAAAAATTGTTTTTGTCATTTACAAGTATTTTGTGCTTTCGATTTCCACCCCTTTTACATTGACACCCTAAATAAAATCAAGTAAAACAGGTTGCCTCCAGTTAATGGGTTGACCAATTGTGGAAAAAATTTATTTGTCAAGCAGTGTTAGGTGAAAATCAGTCAGGTTTATTTAAAATGAGATCTTATAATGACTAATGAACAGGTCAGAGTCAGGGCTCTGCCAACAGGCAGTAGAAACCGCAGGGTGGAAAAACAATCATGAGGTGGATCTGAATGTGAAACCGTCACATTAATTGACGGTTTCATTGAATGTGACGGTTTCATTGAATGTGAATGTTTGCGCAACTGAAAGTTATTCCTCTTGGGAAAAAAACTTTAGTGTGTCTGACAGAGACATAAAATCACGACGTGGACATCAAATGTTGCCATAATAATACAGTTATACCCACTAAATAAGCAGTGACTTAGATCAAAGCATATTAATGACCTAAATTTTCATGTTCAGAGTTGCTCCAGCTTGAGGTATCTTGCAGGTGAAGACAAAAGGCGTATTTCAGTTTCTATACGTACAAACTTGAAGTGAAGTGCAGCAGCTGTATTTACAACAGAAACAGAGTCTCCAGAATGTTGGTTTCATAGTTTTCATTCATTTTTATGCGTTACTTTACATAATATCCCTGTAGAACCTGTCAGTGGTTGTAATGTGACAAATTGTGAAAAGGTTTAAGGGGCATGTATGCTTTTGCTAAGGACTCTATATTAAAATCAAGCTGCTGAGGGTTAAAAGTTCAGGGTTAAACATTGTTCTCTTTTATTTTTTATTTGAAGAGGAAATTACATATCAATAATTAATGACTTTGTCCTCAGGCATATCCTTCCGCTGTATGTGCTTTCCTGCCCGACCTTTATGCTGATTGGTGTGGAAAGCCAAACAAAAATCATGAAACTTTCGCCATCTCCCATGTTCTAAAATATGCAATTTGTCAATTTCCCAGAAGTCATCCCAAAGGATGGAGTTGAGTTTATTATGAGAAAAGGTTTAAACGTAAACCATTTTACCAGATCTAGATCTTTTACTCTCACCTATTTTTAACCGGGAACAATTCAGGATCGCCTCCACGGTTGCAAAAGTTTCACTTCAACGCTGTTTCACACACTGTACTTTTTTTTTTTTTTTAAATAGGAGTCAGATTGTTGACGAGCTGTGAAATCAGGTGGAATAGCTCTCACATGCGATGAAGCACACGCATAACAAATCTGTCTCCGTGTTGAACATTTTCTGGGGGTGAGCACATCCGTCTATCTCAGCCCTGGCATGTTCTCTGTGAAGCTTTTTCCTAAAGACAGTTTCACATACAAACACATCTGTGAAGAGAGAAGAGAACCACACAGCTCCAGCGTGACGTGAGGCCAGCATGTTCCGCTACGCACTGCCAAACTATAATAACTTCAGGTCAATTTGCGGCTATCGGCTCTGGACTGTGGGATGGCAACGTGTGCAATCAAAGGGCTTCTTTACTGATACGACCAAAACAAAAAGGGATTGCGCAGCTACACACAGGAGACACATACACATACGTAAACAACAGGGACTTACGTATTTCATAACCACATTAAAATTGAAACTAATTTTAAAACTATTTGGGTGGATTAAGACATGATTTTTTTGTCTGATTGGATAGCAGTAATGGGGGAAAACAACAGAGACAGTTGAGATTAAAAAGTAATTTAACTAATATTTAGTGACCTCACCTGGTCCACATGTTTCAGTTAAATCTTCAGATGAAAGCAACACATGCAACAATGAACCTTAATGTTATTTATCTAACTAAGACTTTTATCGTGTTGCAAAAGTCAGAGTGAAACAAATAGGATGACATGTAGCTGTAATAACTTGTATTTCTGCATCTTCTTTTTAAGATCTTTCACAATCTTTATGAGTTTTGGCCACTCTCCATTACATGATTGATTAAGCCCATCAATATTTGCAGAAATCAAATTATGCAATAACTTCTATAAGGTCCTGAAAGCATTTCAATCAACTTGACTTCCGGACTTTGACTAATCCATTTATACTCATTGATTCATTGGAATCCTGATCGCCTCACTTTTTTTTATGGTGTTTATAACGTATTCAATTGTATTCAGAATAATCCAAGATTTAGCAGTGACTTAAGTATCCAAGTACTGAGGATACTTAAGTCACTGTTATTACCCTTATCCTGATAGTGGGGACATTTTAATGTTACCATTGAATATTAAAACATCTTTCTACAAAAAGACATTTTTAAAGGCAACTTTGCTTACCTAAGATACACTATTGAGTTATTTTAAGTACAAAAACAATCCCTTCTTGAATCATTAGTCAGAAACTACAACTTATTCATGATGTCTTTCATTTTTTAGGATTATGTTAACACATTCTTGAGCAGTACAGACAAGCAAACTGTTTGGAAAATTAAATATCGTCATGTGTCATTGCTCATCTGAGCTTGAACAGACGCAATAAGAGCTTAAAGACCGTAAGTCAGTTTGTCTTGAACCAACAGGAGAATAATCCTGACGTTAGCAGCTGTGTCTACCTTACTCAGCTTTTTTAATCAACTGCTGCTTCTAGAAATAACTTTATAATAAAACCAAAATATTAGCTGCCACAGTCCAATTGTCAAATGTCATCCACTTACAGAAGAAAACAATTTATAGTACAGGTGTCTGAATACGTCAACAATTTAGTTTTATCAGGAGATAAAGTGACAAAAAAACACCAGGCTTGGTTGTGCAACTCAGCTTTATTTTTTCTACTTCGCCACTGCTTTACAGAAGTCTGTAAAAGGTTGTAAAAAACAAACAACAATTTGTATAGTGTTTATAAGAACTAACTTGAAGATTTCTGCTTTCTACCTATTTGTGTATAAAACACTCTAAAAATTCTCTTTATCTACTTTGTAGCATAATAATTAGTACCTTCTAGATTTTGTACCAACAGAAGCAACATCCTTGTTTTGTACATTTGAATTTTTTGCCTGAAATGACGACGCACCTGCTGATTTTTGTAATAATTGCTGAATAAAGAAGACAAGGACAGGACGGCTTATTGACAATCAATGCAGAAAAAAAGTAAAATAAAGAAAAGCTTTGATATATTAACATAAAATGTCTTTTTCTGATTCACATGTTTATTCTTTCATAAAAAAAATGTAAAAAGTTGATTAATGTATCATTGCACAACAGTGCATTGTAGTGTAAACAATAGCTGTCACAGTACGCATTATTAAGAAAGAAACAATTTAACACAGTTAAAGGTCATTGTAGAAAGTAAGGTCCATTGTAGCTTATAATACGGATTAATTGACTTCATTCAATACTTAAGACATTAGTGAAGATATAAAAAATAATCAAATATGCATCAACTTCAATCGCAAATTCTTTCATACTAACACAGACGTAACAATATAATAATCTCAAAGGCACTATTTCTTTTATTATATTTATGTTATTTAAAAACCTTCATTTTCCTTATCACTCATTTATAAATTTTAACAAGATAATCATTCACAAAAACAATAAAAAGGATAGAGTTTATTTAACGTGTACTTGGGATTTTTTAAGTTTGTTAGTGTAGAAAAACAAGGTGTATTTTAACATAATTCGCCATGTTTGATATTTAGCTGTTAATATTACTGCATAGTTTGAAAACATCTTGGTTGAGCCTGAGCCACTTGGGAGCAAAAAAAAAAAACTACATAAAGGTTTACCGGTCAGTCGAGGTAAACCAACAATAACAAACACTCAACATGAATGTGCAGTTAAGTGCTCTGCATGTTGTGCAATGGTCCGGAGCAAGTCAAGGAGAACGGCTACTTTAAAGGGCAAATGTTGCATTTTAGATATTAGATATGAAAAGCATTAAATGGGTTTCTATTGTTTTCCAAAGTGGATCAGGAATGTCAAAACATTTTCCTGAAACACAAAAAGGACCTTTTGAGTCATGATCGGTAAAAGAGGCACAACCATTGTGGAAATCTCTCAAGGCAATCGAGGAAGGAAATATTTTTTTTCTGACCTGAAATAAAAATGTGGAATGGATGCGTTTGCACTTTTCGGAGACTCAGAAAAACGACGCAGTCGGCATTTTTGCTGCAGCGCGGGAAATGTGAGCGAACTGTACGGAAGCGAACAGCGTTCTCCTCATCCACGTAAAGCAGTTTCGACTTGTATGGCATAAATCTTCACTTTTTAACTTGAGCTTTGAGCTAAAGAGCTACACTTTCCTACTTTTGTCTTGGATGAATATTATGGCAAGCATTAATGCAACAGTTCTGTGCTCCAAAAGTATCAACAATACTACTCTTCTGCAGCATTCAGCTGCATTTTCTTCACTTTTTCTCCCCCTCCACATATATTTTTTAAATTTTGAAATGAAATGAACTATTAAGAGCAAAAAGAAGAACAGAGCCTTGAGGCCAAATTTGTTGTGAGCAAGTGGTATAAAAATACACTGAAATGAATTGAACACAATTGAGAAGGAAAATATGTAAAAATGGTATTTGCCCTTTAACTGCTTCTTTGCCCTAAAATGCAACATCTGCAACCTAGAAAAAAAAAACAAAAAAAACTCTTGCACGTTAGTGTAAACAGATCTGCTAGTGTTAGAGATTGAAAAAAGGCAGTTAATTTTGTTCGCAAAATCTTAAGTTGCTTCCTTTTTCACTTTTATATGTATTTTATTTATATTTTAAAGCTTTTGTTTTTTGGAGGGGTAAAAAAAAAAAGAAGATATCTTTATGACTTATGCCAGAAAACAGATGTTGTTCCAGCTTTTCTCAAATAAAAAATGCTGATGTAGGCAGCCTCGCAGGCCAATCTAATCGGCACTAATCTTTCTCTAAACACAAAAGCAACCGTGTGAGCACTCTGGCGAATGTCTAGCACTGAAAACATCCCTCTTTTGAGATAAGGTTAACTCGAACAGAAACTCGGCAGTGATTGGCTTCCTGTTCAACAGTGTGTAAACACATCTATTGAAATGAGCTGAACTGAACAGCTGCACATTTGCAGGAAGGAAGCTGATTGGTAGACAAGAGGAAAGACAGAACCTTTCACTTCAGCTGCAAGGTTCTGCAGCTAAAGTGCAGAGAGGCAGTAAATCATAATTAACGTGACGATAATATTTCAAGCTTAACCAACTGAGTCTGGTTTTTGTTTTGTTAGTGTTTCACATGTTGCTCTATAGTACTTTAACCTAAAACAATTCAAGCTGTGGATACAGTGAAGTTGAGATGAACCATGTTGTTGGTGCAAACAGCATTCCCCTTACGTCCTCATGCATTAGTAGATTTATACAAAAAAAAAACTGAGCAAGTGTTGACAAGGCTCTTCCAGGTACTGTTTAGATTCTGCAAAGAGCAATTTGCATTTACTGCGCAGCTGCTATGTGGCAGGCTGTAATAATGTCTACTTTTAGAGTGATGTTTGTAGTGTGCTTGTTCCAACAAGCACACTAAGACGTATCATGGAACTTCATGCTAAATCCTTCACTTCAACGCAAAGGGTTATTTGTGGAGTTGAAAAAGAGTGTAAGCGAATCATAGGTTAAACAAAACTAAGTCACATTTTTTGATTTTTGTTGATTAAATTCCCTGACGTTCCCACCTCAGAGGTCGTTTTGTTCACCGAATCGGCCGATCATCTCTGCGTTTCAAGCGTCGGGGGCCGGTACACGGGAACCCCGGGGTCCACCAGAGGAGGCCGACCTCTGATCACGTCAGCTGCCTTCTCTGCCATCATGATGGTCGGGGCGTTCAGGTTCCCGCTCACGATGCTGGGCATGATGGACGCGTCGACCACCCGCAGTCGCTCCAGACCCAGGACGCGCGCGCTCGAGTCCACCACCGCCGTCGGGTCGGAGGCGGAGCCCATTTTGCAGGTGCAGGACGGGTGGTAGGCGCTGTCGGCCTTCCGGCGGACGAAGGCGTCGATGTCAGCGTCCGACTGGACCTGGAGCCCGGGCTGGACCTCGGGGCCGCGGAACGGGTCGAAGGCACTCTGAGCGAAAATTTCTCTGGACAGTTTGACGCACTCCCTGAATTCCCACACATCGATATCTGCAAAGATCGGATAGAAAACACGCATGATTCTGTTTTATCTTCTGACCTACTTCAGTCAAGCAACCCTCTTCGGTTCTTACCAGTGGAGAGATAGTTTGGCTGGAGAATTGGGTGATCCATGGGATTGGGACTTTTCAGCTTCATCCAGCCGATGCTGGTGCTTCTCATTGGTCCAACATGAACCTAGGACATGAGAACAATCAATCTTAGGCAAATAAGTGCTTTTTAAATCACCTAACGACAATATAAAAAGAATGTAGCAGTGTAGAGTTAAAATAATTCTCACAGTACCTTCTACTGCACAATTCTTTAAGAGAAAAGTCACAAAGAAGTATGATATGAATACACTAATGTCAACAAAAATACTATTAATTTCATATAGGAAAGTTGTTCATAAAGCCCTTAAGAAAGTGTGTTTTGAGTAACCTTTGTCGGCCCTGTCCCCTGTCGAGAACAGATGGTTTTATTTTAGGAACAGCAACATTGTTGCACTTCTTGTCTGGCCTTAGATATTTTTATGCAATTTTTCTCAGAGAGGGAAATGTTGGCTCAGTGGTTCTCCATAAAACAAATGGATCTCCATTCCTTGGAATTGATTTGTCTTCTTCAATGATGTCATTACTATCAGCAGTGCGATGGTGCTGTCATCTAAGGACCGGAGAGTCAAACTCCACCCATATTACTGGTGTGTAACATTTGCCATGTCCCCCGGATCCAAAGTTTTTAAATCTCAGGTAGGGGCTGCTACTGAGACCCCGAAAGGCTTCAATGCCCCTGAATCGGTGCTGGTACCCTGCTAACAGCACACCTGCTAGCTTGCTGCCTTGGAGCCTGATGAGATGCAGACAAGCTCCCAAGTAATGTTACCACCAGGGAGACTTTATCACCTTTGAGCCAGACAAATGTTTTTCAGATTACATCTCTCTTGCTGCTTCTTCAAATGGTCTCGAGGAGTCAAGGGAGAGCCCCACCACTGACCACGCATTGTGACCTTTATGTTCTTTGCCTTCTTTACCCGAGAAGGCAGAGAACAACTGCTTCCTTTTTCTCTATTGCCTCTTAAACTTGGTGAAGCATGGATAACGTGCCCGACCAACTTTGTGCACAGCTGCAATCGTGTTGGCACCAATATCTGAGACAAGTTCTGTCTTATTCTTCAGTGATTCTTTTCAACTTGAAGCTATCTGGATTCCCACTTGTGTCTAAATATAAGCAACTTAGACAGCTTTTTTTCTTTTTTTTTTTTACTTTTGAGCAACATACAAGATAAGAGTTTTTTTTTCTCACAAGGAAACTATACTAGTAGGATTATTTTCACAGAGATGTGTCTTCAAGTGTCTTCAATGAACTCTTGAAACCGTTCTGTTGAGAGAGCTTGTAGGTCCTTCAAGATCATCGCAGCAAAACTCTTCATGAATATTTAGACAAAATAACAAAAATATCAGGATACCGTTGTCTGTAACTGTATGTAGCCTCAATAGGTAGACCTATTTTTCCTTAAATTAACACAAAAGGATGACCATATTCATCCTATATTCGTATTTCAAGTTTGTAGGACATACAATTATTGCTGAGTTCCAGTATGATTTTATTCGGCTGCCTGAATAGATGGTAATAGTTTAATCAGTCTGCATCTCTGATCAAATTTAACAATGTTTTCTGTAGTTTGGAGTTCACTAGAAGGTGAACTGCTTTGATGTGTTTATGTAAATTTGTGATGTTACCACAGTGATAAATTCTCTCCTCTGCAAAGCAGGGAGGGCGAGGAGCAAAGTGAGCCCTCGAGGAGCCGAGGGGCGTGGGAGGAGCCGCCGTCTGCTCTGACAGTGTTGGAGAGAAGCTGCACTTATAAGGAAATTACACAGATTGCATTTGAAAGAGAGCAGATGTTTTTAGTATAAACATCACAAAGGTATGATGTTTATACTAAACATCATATTTTAGTATATGAATCATATTAAAGACTTAAGCTCTTGATCTTTGGCATTGGCATTTGGCATGAACTCTGGGGAAATTTCAGCAATTTGCAGGACATTTGGAAGAGACACTGTGACAGCGGTATCGACCCAATACCAATGTTCACCTTGGTACCTATTTGAATCAATGCGCCCAGCCCTACTTAAACAACTTCATCCATTTTAGGTAGATATTGTTTTTTCTTTTGTAGATCTCCTCTTAAATGGTTTATGTGCAGGGAAAGACGGAGTTAATCCGCAGCTATTTTCCCTTTGTGTAAAGCTCTTATTTCCTGGCAGGTGCAATTCTCTGGAAGAGAGAATCAGTTCCAAAGAAATTTCTCTGAAGAGCCAGGTTTGTGATTTAAATGTGACTTTCCATGGAACAGTAAAGGGAACTCTCAACCTCTTGTTAGCATACAAAGTTTATTAATAGCAGTCTAAATAAAAGTAGTGAATAAAATAAAAGTAGTGAATAAATTAAAAAAGAAAAGAGCATATTTGTCATTTGTTGCACCTGATACGCTTCTATCTTTGAAGAAACCCGGCCATGGTCAATAACTTGTGAAGGCAGGAAATGAAACTGAATGTCGGGGTGTGTGACGTGAGGTCGACTGCGTATAAATCCGCCGCTTTCCAAGTGGGCTGTAGCTCCGTAGCCTGAGGGAAGAAGGTTGAGAAAAGTAAAGTGACCATAAAAAAAAAACAAACAAAAAAAAAAACCCACAATCACAAAGCTGATAAAAAAAGCAAGTCTGCCAACTATATGTCTGGCATGCTCAACTAATCTTCCTAGTTGCCAAACCACCGGGTGGTTTCCTGCAGTAATCACTTGTCAATCAGTGTATTTCTTCACTGCGGAGAACATTTCACAGAGTCCTGAGGCAAATTCTACAAATTGCATTGAAAAACATTGAAACATTGAAAAAAAAATACCTATAGGGTATATATGTGTCTTAGTTTTAATTAATTTATTTATTTTTTCATTTTGTAAAAAAAAGAAAAGAAAAAAAAAATTAGGTAAAATAACAAAACTATTATTATGTTGGGAAACACCATACAGCAACGTTTCCCAACCCTGGTCCTCAAGGCAACACTGCCCTGCATAATTTAGGTGCTTCTCTGCTTCAGCACGCCTAGTTTCAGTTGGAGGCTAATTTAGGCTTTTGATAAACTTAACATCTGAGTCAGGGTTTGTTTCAAGCAGGGACACATCTGAAACAGATGGGACAGTGTGCCTTGAGGACCCGGGTTGGGAAACACGTCTATAAAATAGGTACATTTTAGAGGATTATTATGCATGTATTTCTGCAGGCCATTGGAAATTCCTCGAAACACAAAAGCACAAAGTAGTGCGCCATGCTAAAGTGGAAAGAAAATGACAAAATGATGAAGCAGAACTTTTCAAAACCATTTACAAATAGAAGTTTGAAATGTGTGACCTACATTTGTTTTCACCAGGTCTGGGCTGAAGAACAATACGAGCATTTCATCCCAGTTGTTATCAATAACTATTGATTAGTTTTTTTTTATTTTAAATAATTAAAATACTGCCAATAAGAATGTTGTTTTATCCATAATTTCCTCTCAAGCGGCTGAGCTGTTTGCTCTCCTCGTTGTTTATTTCTATATGAGGCACGGTGGTGAAACATGAATCTGCTGATGCACAAGTCACAGTAGAGGTTTGCCACAAGCCATATGGAAAACCCAGAAACGCAATCTGGAAACACGAAGTAGAAACGTAATTTTCAGCCAACATGGAAGGAAGAGAAAGCAAATGCACATCGTTTTTCAGATTCTGATCAGCACAAAATGCAAAATGCTAAAAACCGTGCATCATTTTAATTCCACTTCAGCATTAAGAACTATTTGGGTTTCGTCTAACATACGACTGCAATAAAGTGCATCAACGTTTTGCGTAATCGTAATGTGACAAAACAGTAAAAACGTCAGGCGGTATAAATACGTTTGCGAGGTGAATTTGGTTACCGGTAAAAAGAGTGAGCCACTCGAGGCCAATCTTGATCATGTGGAAAGGTTTCTGCGCCTTGTACAAGGTGATGGGCTGAGTGCACTGCTGCTGGACGTACAGCTCCAAGTGGTCCTGCAGATTATTGCCAACGCCTGAACAACAGAGTGAAGAAGACAGAAGCTTTTGTTCAGTTTAATTTGAATCTAATTAAAAAATACTTCAATAAATATAACTTTATTACATTTTTGCTGAAAGTCAGAATATCAGAATATGCAAGTCTGTTCAAAGAGTTATTATGCAGTTGACAGTGATGACAGTGGAGAGGATTCTCAGTAGTGGTTTGTATTGCGGTGAATCTGAAGAAGCTTCTTATTCATTTATAATACATTCATTTAAAGCATTCTGAGCATTTCCGGAGTTGGCAGGAAGTCTGAGGTAGCCTGGTAAAAACTAGGCCCGTTGTTCTACGCTACTTGCTTTGTACAGAGAGTCTGGGGTCTGGACTGTTGAGAAGCGATTGCTTCCCGTTTTAAATTTCCAACAGCTAATGTTTTCCCGTGGCGTATGAAATACGCCAGTTCAAGGCCATGAAGCTTACCGGAAATTGTCAGCGCTGTAAACAACCGTCCTCCGCTACGAAGAGAGAGTGCCGATCCAAACGAGACGACTGTTAATGTTAATTCAATATGTGGAAGCGAGGCCATCGCAGAATGTCTCCGCTGCCACTTAAAAACTACAGGCAGAGTACAATTCTGAAACAGCGCAGAAAATCAACGTCATCGTTCACAACTTCTCCTTCTGTTCCCTGATTGGTCTGGTACAACATCTAGCAGAGGGAATCCAAGCGAGTGAGAGAAAGCGCACACTGTGATGTAAGCGACATCTTTTTTTGATGCACGGGGAGGAAAAGGCCAGGCTAAGTCGGAGGTGTACACAGTGAAAATGAATGGTGAGAGTACAATCCCCTGTGGTGCTCCTGTGATTCTGACTTCATCAAACAAAACATTTTAGTCTCCTACTCTGTAGATTCTTTGTAAGGTAAACGTCAATCCAAGTAGTTGTTGAGCCACCTACTTGGAAAAAAAACTTCTATTAGAAAAAGAGAAAGAAAACAAAATGTTTGGGAAGTTAAGGTGGTTGTGTAACAGCTGCCTCCTTCAGCAGTTCCAGAACCAGCAACCAAGGCACGAAAAGGTCAAACAGTGACTCAAAATCCTACACGCAATAAGATCTAATCTCCAGCAGACAATGCATCCGTCTCAATGTCAACAGAGTCTTTAAACTTCACGCACCTGGCAAGTGCTGAATGACAGGAATACCGAGGGCCTTCAGTTCCTCCGCATTTCCCACACCAGACAGCATGAGAAGCTGAGGGGAATTGATGGCTCCTCCGCTCAAGATCACTTCTTTATCTGCAAACACCTGAACAATAATGGGAGCTGTTGTAAAGAGGAAAGTCATGAAAAATGGTAACAATGACTTAAAAAAAAACATCTTTAATCTTTTTTTTAATCTACTGTAATACGTGACATAGTCGTGCTTCTTACTCTCTTTTTCTCTCCGTTCTGTACATACTCCACCCCCACAGCACGGTTCCCATCAAACAAGATCTTGGTGGTCATGCAGTGCACCTCTGTCTTCAGATTGGGCCGACCCAGTGCAGGTCTGAGGTAGGCGCTGGCAGAGCTCCATCTCTTCCCTGGAAACATGCATTCATTCGGACAAGATTTATTTGTGCAGTAAAATCCTGGGGATTAGTGCTATCTATGTTTTACACCCAGCTCAGCGCTCCATGTTTGAGAAGGTACAATCCCCAGTTCTAAAGATTTTGCTTTAACTCAGGATTAGAAGTTTGGTTTTCAGTTGTGGCCAATTTACTGATATTTTCTAACATTTCAATTAAAGCAAATTAAAGCAAATTAGCAATTAAAGCAAAACATACAAAGGATGAAATATAGGATCATATTTAACATTTGAATTTGGTTATCAAAAAATCATGAGGTTTTTTTTTTCTCACTGCGTACACATTATTTCAGCATTTCAATTCAGTTTTCTGATGATCTTGAAGGTTTTCACAGCATTTATAATCTCGTTAGAAATGGCAAGTTTTCCTTCCTACTAATGTGCTAAAGGACTACATAAGCACCATATTGGATTGAATGTTCAGACATTTTGGGTGATTATTAAATAATCAAGCATCCGTAATAAAATTACAAGAAATATAGTTATTAGGCTCATTGGTTAGTTAATTAATGTAGCTTCTGTATTAAGCCTAACCTGATCTCAGTGCCACCAATGCAGTCAAACCTCAAGTGTTTTCCTCTCTGTTTCTGTTACCTTGGTAGATGGTCATGTCCATCCAGCCAACGCCTTCCTGCTGGTATCCATTCATGTCATCAGTGAAGGGGTATCCTGCCTGCTGGCCTGCGTCGATAAAAGCCTTGTGCAGGGGATGGTTGGTCTTTCCTCTGGACACGTGAAGAGGTCCGCTGCCACCTCTGTACCTGCAATACAAAGATGGAAAAAAAACACACAATGTTACAATATTTCACAAATGCTTAGTAGGTTTCAAACTCCAGCAGGAAGTGTGGGATTATCATATAAGCACCTCTGCTGCAACGTGTTCATTAATGCTAGACAATTGTCTTATTAATGTTGATAATAACAAAGCTACTTAGCATGTGTTATGTATGAAGATTGAATGAAGATTCACTCACCTCGGAATGATAATTGCTTTAAGTTGGACATATTTACTAATTAGTTAAATTGATAGTTTATGCACAGTCCTGGGTCGTTCTATGACTGGGAGTAAAGGCCTGTGATTTCAGCCAAAGAGAGTCAGGTGAATATTAAGAAAAGAATAACTAGACCAAACTGTGACATCACAAAAAATAGCCTAGTCAGTCCACACTAAACGCTTTATCTCAAGAATAAAGGGCGCATCATAAACAACACACATAGTTCTTCAGACAGGACAAGACCTGTTGCTTCAGAAAGTGTCTCACATTTCCTCTCATTTGCTCCCCCGTAAAGCTGATTTTCAGACACACCAGCACAGGTGGCAACAGTGTGACTGCAGCTTAAACATGCAGCGTCTGGAATAAAATGTGAATCGTGATAAAACATGAAGCGGAGTTTCAAGTTTATAATCCTAGAAAACTGGTAGCATTGTTCAGACTATTTTCCCATTGCTGGTTCTATGACAGCAAAGATAAATGTTCAATTAATGTCTGCCAATTACGAATAAACACTATTATTTCATACTGTCTACTAGCACAGCTCCAATTCTTGATGTGACCTATGTAGTGGAGTCGTCTTTTTGATGAAGGGTAAGTTTTATTTTTAAAGTGGTCTCATGTTTGTGTGGCATTGATTGCGTAAGGGTAAAGATTTGTAGCCAATAAACGAAAAAAAGATGGATTTTTTTTAAATGCATTGTCACTTTGTGATAAAAGATCATATCGCCCATCCTTAGATTCTATCAAACTTATGCAAATAAAAAGTAATTTACAAAATAAATAAAGCCATTTGAACTACCTGTTTTCTCCCAGTTCATGGCACTGAGCTTTTCTGAAGTAAGGCAGACAATGCTCATAGTCCCATCCCTCTGCACCCTCTCTCTGCCAGCGGTTGTAGTCCTCTGCGTGCCCACGGATGTAAACCATGGCATTAAGTGAGGAGGACCCTCCCCAGACTCGGCCCCTGGGCCAGTACAGCACCCTGTTGTCCATGTGGGCCTGAGGTAGCGTGTGGTAGAACCAGTTATATCTGAGGAGGAGTGAAAAGAAACGCAGCAGCAGGACAATTAAAAGAAAATTCTGAGCTCTGAATTATTATCAGAACAAACGTTTTTCAGTCACTGGCGTAATCTGAGGATGATTTATTGCTTAAATTTAGACTCAATCACTGTACTTGTCATCACAGAGGTTGTAGGTCAGCGCGGCTGGCATGTGGATCTTCCACGAGAGTCGGGAGCTTCCCAGCCACTTGTCCTTGGGTCCGGCCTCCAACAGACACACGGACTCCTGGGCGTCTTCTGTCAGGCGATTGGCGAGGACACAACCTGCTGACCCTGCCCCAACAACCACGTAGCTATAGGACGGGGTTTTCTGATTGGCTGCAGGTGAGGATGAAGCGTTCCGGTGAGAAGCTGAGGTAGTGAAACATCTGCAATACAGCAGGAGAGGTTAAAAAGAAAGTCCCGCATGTGTGGCCTTTTCTTTTGAAAAAGTGCATCAAGAAAGCACCTGCCGTCCTTCATGAATCTTCTCCACGTTCCTGTCGCAAGTCTCCGGGCTCCTGCTTGGCCCATCACGGCCAAAGACGACATTTTGGGGGACGCTTCCTTTATGAACTGCACATCACAATGATGATTATTTAGCAGAGGACACGAGGAGAGTGTAAAACTGAAACAGAGTTGAAACACGGGGCGAGGGTTTCTTCAAGTACAGACCTGCCATATGAAAAAATCAAATGAAGCATATAGGTTTTTTCCCAACAGTCAGCATTAGTCAGACGTTAATGAATTCACTTATTATCTCTTTAATGCCTATACCTATTGTTCTATTATGATTTGTTACTAATGCTGAGTAATGGATTTATCACTGTGGTTCTCTTTAAGTCGTCATTCAACCTTTTCTGTCAAACAAGTACAGACAATTATTTCACCATTTCTGATACTGTGTTGCAAACAGGCTTACTCTGCACTAAAATTTACAACACCTGCAATAAACTGTCTGGTCTTGCAAATATTTAATTGCAGAATGAAGTTGCCAGGTCTGCTTGTTCCAAGGAGCTTAAAGCAAATAAATACAGAAGCGTGTTATGCAGTTTTGGACATGTTTCAAGTACAGTAGCTGCCTCCAGTAGATTGTGTAAGCCTCCAACACACCTCCAGTTAGTTTTTACTTATTCTGCCATTAAGGAAAAGAAAATTAGACTTTGACGTCTTGTAGGATTACTCTGTGTGGGTCTGGGCTTTTCAGTTTCTGTAGAAGTAACATAACAATGTCAGAATTTACAGGAAATATAGTGCAATTATTAATCAAATAACTGCACTTTGAGTGAGCTGATCATACAGGCTTTCAAACACAGGAAAACCACTGCTATTTTGACCAATGAATGTACATTGGTTAAATGATACGTAATGGGAGTACTTTTCCATTATGCAACATTTTTAAAACCCAATGGTTTCACATGTTTGACGTAAGGGCTAGCTTTAGGTGCATAACTCCCTTATCAGCAAATTTTAGTGTTATCAGACGTGGTCATAGATGTGAGGTGAATTTTAAAGTGCTACTTCAAAACTCAGCTACTCAACATAGTATCCAAGTTGCATTCATTGTTTTTTGTTTGCATTAATTTTCATCAGATGTGATGCAAAAGAACGTCAATATGAAGGCATAACACTATTATAAATGCTTCCCTTTACGATCAAATTTCACCACATTTGATTTTTCTTAAGGTCGGCTGACTGACTGAGTCCGTTTTTTTTTTGTTTTTTTTTCTAAATAGTCAAACTTTAAAGGTGCAAAAGGTGCTGCAGCTTCTTTGGGTGATTTAAAAGTTTAGAATGAAAATAAAAAGACACTTAAAAGATCATTCCTCAAAAAGTACCAAAGCAAGTCTTGATTAAATTCAAATGTAATGTCTATGCCTTTGGTTAAATTTAGATCAATCTGTTGTAGAAGCATATTTGAGCCATTTATAAATATCCTAATTCAATTCCCATTTCAATAGTAGACATCATTTTGACTGAAAATCCTAGAAGCTGTTAAGTTTTGATGTATTTAATAAACATTTTTGATGGTTCAGTGCATGATCTGCTGATCACCAATCAATGTAAAATTGGAAGATTCAAGTCGGAGCATCTCTAGCAGTTCCTCTTCTATGATATACAATATAAACAACATTCACCACAAGTTCAGTGCAAGTTAAATAACTGACCAAGGGTTATTTTTTGTTTGTCTTTTTAATAGAAGCACATAATTAATGTGACAATTGTAACTGCATAAGTTCAATGCATTGTGCTAAGAACCTCTTTTATTTAGTATGCGCAGACATGTTCCTCTGTTCAGACATGGCAACACAGACCGACTGCTTCTATTTACAGCGTTTAGTTCAAAGGTGGCGGTGAAACGCGGATCAGGACAGTTACTGAGAACTGTGTGCTTTATTATAAAAACTGGTTATTTTACACTCAATGACAGCACGCTAGCTCCACTGATAACACGAATGTGCAAAAACATTTCTGTACTAAGATTCAAACACTACTGCTTAAAGTTTCCATTATCTATTTTTGCTCCTAAAGGCTACTTTCACGACACTTATCAGTCGTTAGTCCTAAATAATCGATGGGTCTGCATCATGTATTTGATAAACGCACATTTTTTAAGGTTTTAAACCATTTTGAATATCGACGAAAATGCTCTAAAATATTGAGCAGTGTCTAAAGTACTGGTGACTGCATCATCGTGACAGTTTTACAGATTAAACTCCTAATTTGCTTAGAAAAACTGTGAAACAGCTAGTTAGCTGCTTCTGCTCGATGTTAAGGGAAAACCGCTGCATGTGAATTCAGAAACTACGTTTAATCAAGATGAAACCGAGTCAGAGGCGTTTCCTACCAACCTACATAAAAACGCATCACTGTGTGTCATGCTAAGAAGCTTTTTTTCATGTGTGTTTTACCCCTTACCTTAGCTCTCGACTGTCGCTCATGNGAAAAAAACACAACAAATGTGAGTGGGCGTGGTTAAGTCTGCTGGTTTTTCTCTTGTTCTGCACAGTTTTGTCACAGAGCGCCTTGCAGTCCTCTGGGGGCATCAACACCGCTGCTCCTAAAATCTTCATTTATGCTTATTTTATTTTATTTTATTTTATTTTTTATGTTTAAATGTTCTAGATCAGACGCTGATAATGTGGCAATGTATATTGTTCTGTCTCTGCATCATTGCTTCACGTGGCACAGCCCACGACATAGTAAGTATCCGTCATTATACTCGCTATAGATACATTTGATATTATTGTCTGAGAACCTTGTTTCTGAAATTTTATTACAGAAAGTGGACTGTCAGGAGCCTAACGGTAAGCCTGTTTTCATCTGCCATAACACAGTTAGAAAATAAATATTGTCCCACAGGGTTTATTTCCACGTATTTATTATTATTATTATTATTATTATTATTATTATTATTATTATTATTATTATTATTATTATTATTATTATTATTATATAACCTGTGATGATTTGGCATCACATGTGTGTGAAATGTGATGCTTAACCATGAATTTAATTTATTAAGGGAAAAGAACTACCTGAGCCAGCTTGGCCTTTTATAGAGCCCCATGAAATTAGGAGCTGGTTGTGTGCTGCTCTAGTCAGCTGTAGGGTTTGTCATAACTAGCAACAAATGTTGTACATTGCTGTGCATTTTAACCCACTTCCTACTTTAAAGAAGGACAGCTTGTTTGGGATTATACTAAAACAGAGTCAGAATCTTAAAGATGTGACAGTGAGAAGTGACACGTTTTGAACAACGTTTATCTGCACTTTATTTGATTGTTTACAATTATTGTACTTTATATACTTTTAAAACAATCCTCCAAAGCCTTTTACCAGCTATTCCAAGAATGAATAGCTTCTTGGAATCATATCAAGCTATTCTTGAAATTGCTTCTTGATTCATATCTTTGTCCTAATCCAAACCCAAATGTACAAAGATGCCGACCTACGATTGGTCGGCCGCTCTTCAGGATTTTCTCCAAGTGAGCAGAATTTGTGGTTTCATCTGCTTATGATGCATCCACCTTGTTGTGATTATTTTGATTCTTTAATATATATATATATATATATTTTATGCCAGAGGCATGTGGATGGACAATCTCCTAAAAATCTACCCTTTATCTCCTCAGTTCATATAATATTTTCCTGACTGTTCTGGGGACTATCCGAATATTGTCCATGGTCTTGTGGTGACCTCCATCGCTGTCCTTGTTTTCTCCATGATATCTCTAATTGACTTTTTCCCAATGCCAGAGATGTTTAAGCACTTTTTTAAATTGTTCTGGTCAGGCAAAAGTCAGGGTAGGAAAAATAATTCCCCTGGAAGATCTTGGTAAATGACATGAATTTTAAATCTTAATTTTGTATCCACTCAGGTCATCTTTGTCTGGTACAGTTTCTTGATCATTTTTAATAACAAAGAATGACTTAAAAAGCAAAAACAGAAGAAATCTATAAAGGAGCAAAAATAAATAAATAACTAATAAAAATGTTTTAATCCCATTGTGGAATAAATGACAATCATTTAAGTGTAGGTTTTATAGGCAAAGTTAAATAGTTGATATCCTCTCCTAAATAATTAAGTTAATCTAGTTTCTAGTAAAAGCTACACATACAAAAAAAATCTACATTTTATTTTGCTGAATCCCATTGATAATAATTACCACCAGTATAAAGAAAAGTAAAAAAAAAAAAAAATGTTGTCTCATCATTAAAAACAAACGCAGTTAGGTGTCATTGATTTCACATTATATTATGAAACAAAAAAGGTTTTAATAGCACAGTCTACCCAGATGACCAGGTTTGGAAAGCACTATTTTGTCACAGAGATTTCTATGAATGTGTTACATGATTATTGTGAACTCCACTGTGTCCTAGGTCCTCCCATAACAGACCTAAAAGGCTCTCCGTCTAAGGTGGCAGACCTGACGTTGGAACTGTTGACGGTCGGAAATGAAAGAAAGCTGAACGTAAGCTGGGCGATCAACATCGATGGTAGGGGAAAAAAAACATTCTTGTTTTTTGATGTTACAAACCGTTGGCTCAAGACAGATTTTAAGATGTGGGTAAAGATTAATTGATTCAACATTTTAAATTCCAAATCATAAAACTACCCACTCCACTGTGTATTGTGTATATCAGTAATACATGTTATTTTACTATTTTAACATTGAATGTGTACAGGTTGTGTGCTGAAGTTTGTTATAGTCTTCTTAGCCTATAAGAAGATGACATAATGGATGCATGTAGGGTTTTTGTTTTGTGCTGATGTTTTTCGCGTTACTTGGTGATATAAAATTTCTCTGGTGATAAAGTATTTACCTGTCTGTGCTGTCACCTTAAAGTCAATGAAGTCCAAGTCTATCAAGCTTCCTAATGCCATAGAGACAAGATGGGAATTAAAAATGATGCTCAATTACAGATGCTTTTTTTTTCTATCCCTATGAAGAAATAATAATGTGAACCATCAATTCTAACCATGTTTTTTCTTCTCTGCAGCCAGTAATAGATACCTGAAGTACACAAGGATTATCTCAGGACTAACGAACCACATCTGTATATACAATCCCCCTTTCACTGCAGCAAACCTTACTGGATTGGAGAAGGTACAAACGACTAGCTGATGTTTATTTTAAACAGCATGATCACACACTATAATGATGGTCCAACTATT